ATATATATATATATATATATATATATATATATATATATATATATATATGATGGCACAACGCCTCGAAGTGGTGGGATGGCATGTGTGCCCCAGCGACCCCCAGAGCTATGCCGGTGGGTGCCTAGTGCTCCTGCGCGGGTAGGGGACAGACCAAAAGTTGTGCCCTGGTCCTCCCGGTTGAGGGTTGTGCGATGGGCTAATTACTCGTCCACATTAAAAGAATATAGTTACAGAAACCGAAGCCGAATCTGAAATAATTGTTATGGGATAGGATAAATCAGACATTAAAAGAATTGTCCATTGTTCCCGCTCAGGCAAAAAAAAAATCAATCATTCTTAAACAAATGTGTTCACCTTCTTTAGTTAGCCGATAGAGTGATCGCTTTTACATGCTATTTGTATCGCTCTTTTTATTATTGAATTAATGTATTAATGTATTATTAAATTTTATTTCTAATGGCAAAGCTAATGTCAAATCACAATAAACAATAGGTACTCTCGCTTTGCCAACGGAGACAAAATGTATCTGGGATGTTTTAGAACTGGGTGAAATTAAAGTTACGAGATCATCAAAATCCCGCAAACATAAAAAACAAATGGTATTTGTGAAGTAATTAATAAAAGCTTATAATAATGAAATCAGATGAAGGTTGAACACCTAGTAGTTATTGTGACACATCTTACAACAGCGGAAATCGAAAAACTAATAATCGCATTAACGTCAAAAAATATCTGGATGTTTTATCACATAACTATATATGTCTCATTCTGTGTTATGAGAAAACCGTAAAAACTCAAGCGATATGTCTCATATTGTGTTATAAGGATACTATAAAAGCTCTAAACTTTTTGAACTTAAAAGAAGCTGTAAAAACATTTCTGAAAAAAAACATTAAAGCATTAAAGTATTAAAATTTAAAAACTTAATTAAATAAATCAACTTTTGATTTATTTTATTAGGAAGATTGACCGTCCTAATACATGTTTAGCGGAATCTTATATGTTTAGATGCTGGCGACATCAATAGGTGGAGGTCTTGCTGTGTTGGTACTACGCTGATGTACATAAACTTTAAGTTAACTACTCATAGACAAAAGCAGTAGTCGACGTATCTTGTCGATATAATTATTGTGCATCATTTTATACTTAAAATAATATTTTAAACATAAATTCACCTTTTCCACAAAGGGCGAGTGACACTATGACCTAAATTTGCTAGATTTAGATTAAAGCACTGTTACATCCAATAAACAACTACAGATAAACTTAATTTTATTATTAAAGTTGCACAGGTTAAAGCTATGGCGCTAACTGAAAAAATAGCACAATTACAGAGAAATAAAAATGTTTTTGGTGTGATTTTTAATAAATGACTAGTGCGAGGGGGTGGGCAATTAACGATATAAAACATTTTAAGACGGACGAGACGGGGAGGGGGTGACACGTATTGCAACTTTTAAGGATAAAAATGTATACTGATCAGAACAAAATACACTGTCAATTTTGAATTTGATGCTTGGATTTCTACCTAACACTTTTTTTTATGAGCACTTCTAATTTCAACTGAACAGACACGTTTTCGGTCTCACCTCCATACCGAAGCAAAATGTGTTATTAAATTGTGATTATAATCCCACGCCTAACTTGTCAATGTAAGAACCGGTCGATTTTGTAAACATGAACGTAGTTGGTGAATGATTGTCTCAATTGCCTCACTCTCGTAAAAAATACCCAGACTGAGGGTTGTTATAAGTGTATTAACAGAAACATGATAGTATTCGATAATATATATTTGACGACTTTTAACTGATTTTCTTTTTACACCTAACTGAACATTTAGCCTACTTGATAAAACTGAACAATATACGCTTGTACGTTTGTCACAGAGTGACTTTTGAACTTCTTCAACTGACTTTTGCATGAAAGCGTGCAAACATATATGCATTTTGTTATGATATATGTGTTAGCTGTGTGAAACGAGGCCTCTTAAATCAGATATATTAGAAATTAGAAGATTGAGTCCTTGAAAATTTTCTCTGCAAATAAATTTAAAAAAAAATATTTTAAAAAATATAAACCATTAAATAGGTGTGTTTTTAACGAAAACATCTGTCACTTAATCAGTGTTGGCATTTAATATGTCGTGGTCTTGAAAAACCTAATATATAAAGTTCAATTGTGCATATTTGCATGTGCGGGCAAAGATCTGATTCCAAACAAATATTAGAAAAAAAAAACTACCTAGGCAAGATCGAAGAAACTATTTCTTTTAAGAGCTTCGTTTGTGTTTTATAGCTTCAAAGTTTACATACCATGACATTGCTTTGCACCAAAAATATATTCTTAAAAATAAATAACAGTTAAGTAACCAGCTCCTCAATGATCTCTATCTATCTATCTATTTATCTTTCTATCTATCTATATACTAGTAAAACTCAAATTTGTTTACATCTTTGAATATTTGTTTGTTTTTTTTTTGTTTTTTTTTTGTTTGTCTGATTGACTACTGGAGAGAATCGGCGCTAGGTGGAGAGCTGTAAAATAGTATGTAAGTAGAGAACAATTTTTGTTTTCAGACAGACTGTTAATCAGAAATTTATCTAAAGACGTTAATTAATTTATTGATTTATTCATATGTAGATTAACAACATTAATTTTAAATTTTTCAAACAATGGCTTTCTTTGAATGAGTAGTGACGTTACTTGATTTGTTTACTTTTTAGTACAATAACATGGCGGCTTCCATCATAGACTTTGTGGCCCATTCAAAAGTATAAAGCGTTCTAAAGCTAATTTTCTGTCGGTTATGACTTTAACAATACGTCCGTTTGCTGTATTTATTACGTTCCAACAGTTATATCAATTTTCAACTGTCTTTTTCATTTAGTTTTACAATAAATTTCTCTAGCTCTACAATCTGTCCAAGTAAGTTATTTATAGATCTAAATATCGGGTGGCCAAGAAAGTTATTTATAGATCTAGATCTAGAATCTAGGTCAAACCAAAGATTAATTAGATACAAACCAAAGATTAATTAGATAAAAAAAATATTTTATAATCATATTACATTTTTAGTCCTTAAATACTTGATGCAAATCTTTGTGATTTATCTATCTAGATCTAGATCTATTTAGCTAGAATATGCCTAATGATTAGATCTAGATCTAGCAAGAGCTACGCAAAAACTAGACATAAGAATTAAGCAAACGAGTCGTAGAATTGAGATCTAGATAATTCTATCTAGATCTAGATAATTTCAGACCTACATTATTTTATATAAATCTTTGTTTGTTTAGCTATGTAACTGGCTAATTTAAGATAAAATTTAATTTTAACGTTACTACTACTAGACTTAGATCTAGATCTATGCGCGTAAATCAAGTTGCATAGGGAGACCCAAAGTATTAAAGTATACTATAAAAAAAAACATCAATGACGTCACGAGTTAAATAGCTAAGTTGTTAGTGTAATCGGTTTGCACGCGGGTGGCACGGGTTCTAGACACATCCATGTTAAAAAAAATATTCATTTTTCTTTTCTGAGATGTGAATGATAAAGCTGCCTATCTGAACTTGGCGGGATACAGGGAAGGTGAAGTAGAGTTCATCTGTTTCTTTGTCCTAAGCATATGAAAGGATAGTGTGGTCAGAAACATGCTCGGCTGGAATCGCTTTTCTAAACGATAAAAACATGTCTGAGACTTGGCGGGACACTGGGCAGGTGAAGTAGAGTTGAGTAGGTCACCTGTGAAGTCAGTATATGAAGGGATAGTCCGAAATCGGTGTTTTCGGTGTTTTTAAAAGATAAAAAAAACATCTGTTTGAATGTGGAGTCTGTTTTTTTTGTGAAATAAGTGACAGACGTGATTTTTTTTTTATGGATGACCCCGAAACCCACAGTTATCCAAGGGATGCCCGGGTAAGTCTAGTGTTTACTTCTTTCCGTTTACGGAAAAGCTTGTAGCACTAAGATTTTTCACTAAATTGAAATAGGCGGAGCCTCTAGCGCCATTGTAGGATTTGATTTGGCGCCCTGGACTATCTTTTGAGCACTATGGTGTATACATTCGTTTAAAGCAGTGCGATAGACTATATGAGTGCAAAGACGATGAATAAATTGGGGTACTATAGCCGTTTACTAAGATGAAACATGGTGTGATTTCACGCCCTTTTAAAAGTAAACCGAGAGTGATCTCCCCTAAGCTTTCTCGAATATTCTTATATAACACTACCATGTATGGGAACTCGGGCCGATAAAGACATGATTGTTATTCCATGTTTTAATTACTTAAACGTTTTAAATATAATAGAATCTCGTAGAAAAAATTGCGCACCTAATGAACACCAAACAATGTATGTATAATAGTGCGGAACATTATTAGTGTGCCTCCTATATAAATTCGCATGCGTGTTTTTTTTTTGGAAATCGGAAACAGCGCAAATTGCTACTTCCGGTAAACAGAGATTACTCAAAATTTAACTTAAGGCAGTGAATTGAATTTCTTTCTAACATGTCAAATTTCATTTTTCTATCTGAAACAGTACTCAAGTGATAGGCTTTTGAAAAGTTTAAAGTAAAACTAGTGCAAATTCTAGTTACCGTAAATGGCTGAAAATTGATAAAGAACTACAATTTATATTATACTTATGAAATATAATCAACCTAGCTGTAACGGTACTCAATTTATCGTGTTCTCAGGCACACAAACACACACACAAACACACACCACAGAAATGCGGACAAGATTTCAAATCTGGTTTCCCGACTCAGAGATTACAATATGATTATAATATTTTCTCTATACTTTGTATACAAGAAAAATTAAATCATAAGCCTACAATTCAATTGCAACGGGTACTAATAGCTTGTTTGTAAATAAAGACGTGCATTTTTGTTACACATAAAATTGGTGTGCAATTAAAACGTTTGTATTGGGTCTTCGACTTCAAGATAAAAAAACGGAAATCATAGAACATAATTAATCACACAATTGAAGAGATAGCGAATAAGCAAACATGGCTCTGATTACGGTAGTATTAGCATTCCTTGGTGTCAGGTCCATATCAGCACAAGGTAAACTCATAATTTAGGTCTAAAATTCTTTGACAAGACATTACCAATGTTTACTTTGTTATATTGACTTGCATAAAAAGATGTCAAGAAACTCCTGGCATAATGTTCAACCTTTGTTTTTAACACAATTACTTATTAATTACAAAAATAATATGAACATCGTTTACATTAAACAAATCAACAAAATTTTGTAAATCTGCTGAGGTTCCTTTTTAACATGTAATAAGGTATTCAGAACTAGAGCTACCTTAAGTTAGAAAACGTATTAGTGTACGTACAATAAACCAACAATACATTCATTATATACAGTATTAAACATAATGTAAGCATTAAATTTGTATTAATATATTCGCCAGAAAATGCGCGAAATCCAAACAGTGCTTATCTGAATAGACTCGAAAATGTTCCCATATGTTTGTTACCAGAAAGTATATTTTACATTAGTTAAATATATACAAAATGACTTCCGGATTTATTAAGGCTTGACATATTCAAACAAGTACTTAACAGCAAAATAATAATACATAGACGAACAATTTTATTTTTAATTTTGGCTAATAGAGTCAGTGACAGGGGTGTTATATTATATTATATAAATAAACTACTAGGCTATACCCTATTGAAATAATAGTTATAGGCTAATTAATATCAAGACTTACAACAGTCTTTTAATATATGTCTAAGCAATCCATATCAGACATTTTCAACCTATGATTATGCAATAGTCCATAAACTATGTCAAGTTTTTTTCTCACCCCCTCCCCTATTTAACTTCTACAAAAAAGCCAGATCTGCCACACATAAAGTTTACCTCATCCATCCACAACCCCACTTACCATACATATTGCTATTTCGTTTTTAAAATAGCGATTTTCTTATAAATTGTTTAGCCTAATGTGCTGTGCCAACAATTTATGTAAGCCAATTGATAAAATATTTTATAACAATTTATAGCATACGTTTTTAATAGCGACGAAAAGCTTAAATCCAATTTCTAAACATAACTGTTTGAAAATGCAAAGCAAAAGCGTGTCATCTTACTTTCTTAATAACGACGAAAAGCGTAAATCCAGTTTCAAAACACGACTGTTTAAAAATGTAAAGCATTCGGCCTTATGTCGCATTCGGGCAAGTGCCCATTGGGGCGTTTGTCGCATTCCGGAAAGTGTTTGTTGAGCTCACTTCTATTTATGAACTTTGCACTGTAGTGTAGACTTGTCATAACATTCTAGTAGGCTACAATTATACTAGTATTACTTGTAGTTGCGTGCTGAATGACTAGGCTTTTGTTTGTTAATGCGGCTCATTGTACTAGCTATTGGAAGCTTCCAGCAAAAGCATGTTCATTCCGGCAACCGTTGCTACACCAGAAAGACCACAGACAAGATTGAGGGAGCATGACATGTCGACTACTTTTGTTGTGTTTGAGGTCTAACATGTGTTCCGATAGAAAATCCAGTAAAAATCGTACTCAAAATATACTTTTGTGCTGTATGTATGTGTGAAAATTACAAAAAGTGATTGTTATAATGATTGCCATGTTATTAGGTAATAAACTGTATCGTTTGTTCCTGTTTTGTAAAAAAAATTTTTTGAAAAAAAATGTCCTAGTTTACTGACGGTACTTATAAGTACCAATATCTGTTTGGGCCATTAAAAATGTATGAAACGAAATTTCCTTCGATATATGCTTTGAATGAGCCAAAAGCAATATAGTAACACTTTAAGTAAAAATCTCATTCAGAACATAATTCCGTAAATAAAGGGTTAATGGAAAAATTTCATTTGTTGGTTGTTTTTATTTATTCAAATATTTTTTCGGTCATAATCTTCCATGATCCATGAATGTTACACATTTCCTAAATGACTCACTAACTACCCATGTGCCCCTTCTCGCCCATTTATTGATTTTTAATTTGTGCATTATCTAATCAGTAAATGAGATTACCAGTATCAAAATACACCTTTAATACTTATCGATAAATATATAATTACAAAAGTAGCTACATTGAATTGTATCATATTTTCATTTTTAAATGAATTATACCTTTCAAATCAGATACAAATTGAATATTATCATAATTTGTTTCCTCGAATGTTTCAAATTATGAGACCGCTTTGACGCGCTGGACGGGATTCCTTCTATATATATGCAACAGCAAAATGGTGCATATCTCATTTCAATTCACCGCTTAAATTCGATACTTTTTATTTTTGGACTTTCGCCGGCCATTTCGATAAAAAAAATAATAATCAATATATGCTCAATTAAAACTGTATGTGATTTATTTCAGCACTACATAAATCAATAGTACCAAAAATAATAAAGCTAGGTTCAGAAGTTACTGTTTTCTGTGATTCTGATCTTGCCGGTGTCCTTGAAAATGGCAGCCCTGAAGGCATTTTTGCGTTGGAGCTGAGTTGGAATAAAAAATTCATTTACTCGTTCAGTACAGCGGTAACTTAGTTAGACTGGAAGTCCATATTTTAAAATACGTTTATTACATAGTATTTAATTCGTCTTGAAATCATAATCGTTGGGAATTGTTAAATAGAAAATAGCATACAAATATTTTATCGAAATATGTTTAATTATGCATATTTATCATTAAACGTTGTAATTTTCTATTCTTTGTATAGTCTGGTACTGTCAGAACAATTGGTGTAAACACTCACTGGCGAACTAGGGTTTCTGGACACTATCCCAGGAACAGTCGTCATCTTTTCGATAGGGACACATTCAGGCTGGAAATCGATATGATAAATATCACCACCGATTACCAAGGCGAGTTTTGCTGCTCTAGCTACATCAGCAAGAACGGAAAAATAAGACGGCCCGCCATAAAACGTTGTAAGGACTTTATAGGTTGGTCTCTTTTATTAGGGTGTTTTTGTTAGTATCAACCTTCTTATTTTTATAATATTATTACTTATTCTTTTAAATTTCAATTTATACAAATACCCTTTTTTACTTTCTCGTATATACGAAGTATAGAGAAAGTCTTGTAATCGTGCAAAAAAAAATCGTGATTTTCACAAATCTCGACGTTTTACACCTCACTGATACGGAAAAACATAATTTTGCAATCTTGTCCGTAAGTCTGTGTGTCTGTCTGTGTGTGTGTGTGTCCGTGTGTAAACACGATAACTTGAGTACCGTTACAGCTAGGTTGATGAAATTTCATATACAAGTATTTTATCAAAATATTATATCCGTATCAACTTTTGAGCGATTTTCGATAACCGGAAGTGGTACTTTTTCTACTTTGAATTTTTCAAAAGCCTATAACTTGAGTACTATTTCAGATAGATGAATGAAATTTGATATGTAAGTAAAAGATCTAATTCTCTACCTTCTGTCAAATTTTGAGTAATTTTTGTTGAACGGAAGTACTAATTTACGCTATTTACGATTTCTCAAAAAAGCATGTAAATTTATAAAGTACTAATAATATTGCGCACTATAATGCACATCTTTATTTAGCGTTCACTTGGTGTGCAATTCTTTTTTCTACGAGATTATATTCTATTTTTAAAAGTTTGAGTATTTAAAATGGATTAAAAATCATGTCTAGAAGTCTATATCCCGAGTTGCCATCCCCCGTAGTGTTATATTAAAATATTCGAGAAAGTTTAGGGGAGATCACTCCCGGTTTATTTTAATTAAAATTTTTAAAAAAGTAGTATATTGGTATATATTTTGTATTAGGTTATTTCATTTTTTCCTTTAATTGTATCAATTATGTTTGAACATATAACATTTCCTTTCAGTGAAAATACAAGTGACAGAAATTCACACATTTTAACTGCTTTACTTAAAAATATTTCGATTTTCTTAATGTCCACTAGTAGTTTTGTCTAAATCGGAGTGTTCTTTTTTTTTAAATTTAAAAACATAGCAGGCCTACATTTTTGTTCACACATACATACAGACACACACACACACACACACACACACACACACACATATATATATATATATATATATATATATATATATATATATATATATATATATATATATATATATATATATAATTGTATATAATTTGATGTTATGATGAGCTTAAACTCACGTTCATTGTCATTTCATTTTCAAATATTTACAGTTTCACATCACTCTATAGTCGAAGAAAGCTTAGTCGCACAAGATCAAACTATAAAAATGATTCAATGTACCGCTGATCTCGCGGGAGTTCCAGATACGGCAACAGAGATAGACAGAATGGAGTTGTTCTGGCAAAATCAAGATTTCGATCCAAACTATTTTATGTATACATTAACTACATATTGGTATTCCCATCGGGTAAGTGTATGGTTAAAAAACATTTAAAAGTCGGTATCTCTACAGATTATAATTTAAGCTTTACCTAAACAGACGTGTTGATAAAATGGTATAAAGTTATACTTGTATTAGTTGTTCATATCTAGTATACTTTGTTTACCAATATGCTCCAATTGATAAAGTTTGTATTTAAAAAAATAATTTTAGTATTTTGTTTTAAAAACCTAACCGTTTGACATGCCTTGTTAATCTACCAGCTTTTCCTCTTTTTATCAACCACTTTTATTATTTCTTTTACAATAACATTGTAAACATATTGCAGTCCGGCAATACTCCTTCATATATGATATATTAAAACAATATCATTATTACAGTAGCGCACGAAGGTGGGGGGAGCAAGGGTGAGCTGCAGGTCCCTCTACGAACATTTTTAGGATAGTGGCGGCTTTATCAAAAATATTTTAGTTGAATTTTAATTTAAATCAACACACACACGCAAAACAGCAAACACATTACTGAAACTACGAACCAAATAATTGTTACGTTATGTACCCTAAGTATCACATTTTTAACAGCGCATCGTAAGTAGATCTGTAGTTTACTTCTTGTCTTACTTATCGTCGCCTATGTCATCATTAGGCATGTACTGTTCACAGAGGCCTACTACCTTTGGCTTTTAAGATCAGTCTAGAAACGTAGGGTAATTGTTTTCGTTAAGTGTGCCCCGTTAAATACAACTTTGCTTATCTTTTATATGTCAAGAATAGCAGGGGGTGGGAAACTGCAGGTCTTTGTATTTAAGCTTATCTAGAACATTATCTTCTTGTACAGATGCACCTATTTATACATTGATTATGTTAAATATGTTTATGTAGCTATATGAGGTGGGAAGTGGGGGGGGGGGGGGCGAGAAACGAAATAACTATAACGAAAAAAAATCCTCACACAACTTCAAGAAGGTTAAGATTAGTCTTGAAGATCAGCACGTACAGATGTACTTAACGAACATATACTTAAATAACTTGGGTAATTTGAGCTAAAACCATAGTAAAGCACTATGATTATGAATGTTACTGCTTCCAAACGATAAATAAGCAAACTTCAAATATGGAATACCTATAGTTGTTTATTCAATAACCTGAATCATAACTTTTTGCAACAGACTAAACTCTGTGAATATTGTTTTTAGAATTAACAGTAAACAGATATTGCTTTTTGGGCTTTTTAAACATTGTTTTTTTTTTATCATAATAAAATGCATGTGTTAGATCACTGTGTTACTCACACACCTGTTTACTGTTAATTCTAAAAACAATAACAGTGCGGAATATTGTTAGTAGTTTATAAATTCACAAGCGTTTTTTTTTTTTTGAGAAATCGAAAATAGCGTAAATTACTACTTACGGTCAATGGAAATAACTCAAAATTTTTCAAAAGGCAGAGAAATTGATCATTTACGTACATTTGAAAATTCAATCATCTATCTGAAATAGTACTCAAGTTATAAGCTTTTTAAAAATTCAAATTTGAAAAAGTTCCATATCAGTTTATCGGAAACCACACAAAAGTTGATACGTATCTACGATTTGCTAAAATACTTATATACAAAAATTTCATTAACCTAGCTGTAACGGTACACACACACTCACACAAACGGACAAGATTCCAAATCTAAGTTTTTCAGACTCATGGAGCTGTAAAACGTCGAGATTTTTTTTTAAATGTCCACGATTTCAAGACTTTCTCTATACTTAGCGTATACGAGAAAGTAAAAATGTAGAGATTTAAAGATTTAAAATCCAATAATTTAGTTGAAATTAAGCGTACTGTTGATTATTACTAAAAATGTTACACCTGTTAGGTTTAGAATAAGTTACGCATTAAAAGCGTTGTTTTATACCGACTAAGCACTCGATTTGTTTATGCTGTGATGTTTTAGCATTTACATGATTTTAGACAATATTTTTTATGTAAAAACGACGACTAATAATACTAAACCAGACTACCCGCCATCCGTTGGATAACTTTGGGGGGTCATCCATAAAAAAAAACATCGAATCTGTCACTTATCGTCACAAAAAACCAGACCCCACATTCAAATATACGTCACACCTCAGACGTTTTTGTCTTTTAAAAACACCTATTTCGGCTGAGCATGGGTCTTACAACACTTTCCTTTTATATGCTGAGATCACAAAAAAGGTCAATTCTACTTCACCTACCCAGTGTCCCCCCAACTTAGACATGTTTTGTCTTTTAAAACACCGATCAGAGTTTCTTCTAGACATCTCGAGGGGAGGGAGGTAAGAGGGGGAGGGCTTCGCCCCCCTCCCCCACGAAGAAAGTCTACCGCCCCCCACCCCGGGGAAAAAAGTCTGGAAGAAACACTGACACCAATATAATCTGATCATAGGTCTGACCACAGTACCCCTTTATACTCTGACGTCACAGGTGAACTCTACACCTACCCATCTCTACTTCGCCTTCCCAGTGTCCCGCCAAGTCTCATACGACATCTTTTTATCGTTTTTGTCACTTCATATGCCAAGAACACAGAAACTGGTGAAATCTACTCCACCTGCCCCGTGTTCTGCAAATTCCCGATAGACAACTTTATTAAATAGGTTGTTGCTCGTAATTTTCAAACTCGACTAATTTCAAATAAAATTATACCACAACAAAACAGGATTTTTTCTCCATCACATTGATACAATTTTGTGTCTCTAGCTTCATTAGGAGCTAAGTTATAGGCTTTTTAAAAAAAAATGTGGGCGTGGCAACAACAGCTTAGACCTTCGTAATTCAAGTCGATGTTACTCAAGAAAAAAAAGTTAGCAGAGATGTTTTTTATTGCATCATCACGGATTCGCATTTTTTGAAAAATTAAAAAAAAAAATTATTTAATGCATCTTCCCGGATTCGCATTTTTTGAAAGAAAAAAAATTATAAATTGTTATTGCATAATCCCGGATTCGCATTTTTTGAAACACTAAAAAATTATAATAAAGCTTGGCTTAGAGACATTAAGTTAAGTATAATTACGTATAATTGCTTTAATACTGGAAGTGATTTATTTTAACTAAGTTATTTAAAATGTCATTGTCAACACTGATTGACGTATAAATAAAATACCGTATTACTCCGTGTAAAAAAATTAAACAACCAAAGTTTAAAATAAAACTAAATCTAGTTATTGTGAACTTATTTATTGATTTTTAAACACTGTTACTTCTATTTACAATTATAGAGATGCATTCGCACATATTACTGCACAATACTCATCCTTATTGAACTTCGGTATATGAAGTAGAGTGGACTTGCATATACGACATGATGAATTTAAGTAACAACTGGCTGTATTTACATTACTTTCTCAACCCCTCTCCCCTCGCCCCTCGTCTCATGTACTGTTATCAGAAGCCCATAATAAAATTATTAAACAAAATAAAAAGAAAACAACTGTAAAAGTGTGTACTAGTTTTCATTTATTATTAATTAACTATTTGATATAAATTATAACAATTTGTTAACAATTTTTCAAGTATAAAATTAAATTATTAAAATACAGTTATCAGGTCAACACATTAATTGTAATTGTGTCTAAAAAAAGAAAATTTTGCATACACAATTTGTTTATTAGAGAAAAGAAATAAATCATAAATAAAAATAACAGCTACCCTCTTAAAATAAACTTCTAAAAATATTTTTATAATCTGTGATTAACATAGAACAATTCCACAATCAACAATAGTTTGAAGAAACATAAATCCACAAATCAACAATAGTGTAAAGAAATATAAATCCACAAATCAACAATAGTGTGAAGAAACATAAATCCACAAATCAACAATAGTGTGAAGACACAAATCCATAGTACACGACATCAGGCTTCATCGACATCAGGCAACATCGGAAACTCCTCATTACTTGATCTATCGGAAGAAAAAAAATAGTATTAACTATCAAGTAATAAACAATATATTGGCTTTAAGTATAAATTACTATTAAATCTAATCCATGACTTCAGTGTACGCTGAAAAAAAAAATAACTGCCATAATGAATTTCTTGGACCACTTTAGTGTTAAAACAATTTTCTAAAGTATCAATTATATAATTATAATTAATCTATAGATTCTATTAGCACATTTAAGGAAAAGAAATACATTTTTAATAAGTGTTAGTTCTTGAGTAATTTAACTGTAAAAGAAAATACTTAAAATTAATTTTTGAAGCACATTAACTTCTGATTCTAATGCTAGGATTATCCAGCAATATCAATAGCCCTGAAAAAAAGTTAAGTAATTAAATTGTACATTTTTATATTATGTAATATAAAAAAATGTAAAACAAAAATACTCAGAAATTCTGATTAGTTTTTATTCAGAAATAAACCCGAGATTCCTGTGAAGCAAACCAACAACCAGTGATTCTATCTGCCAGTTGGCTGAAATCCTCAGCATCATCCTCTTTATCTGACCAGTAACTGATGGTGTAAACAGCTGACTTTTGTTTTGTTACTGGCACCCTTTCAATAATCCTTCCGCTGTATTGCGACACACTCTGATCATCCAACTCCCACTTATGAATCAGTTTGACACCAACCAGATCCTCACCAGCCAAAATTCTAGACAGAAAGGTCTCTGCTTTCTATCAACAGCAGCAAAGATAGGCTCATCAACAGAAACATTCTTGTCACACATAGCCTTACGGACAGCTGTCTGAAGCTTTTTCCTTTCAAGGACTCCGGGTTCATGAGCCATCCGGGATATGCTTGAGTAGTGGGGCATTTTAAGGGTGCCTTTGCCAACTGCTTCTGCAATATACTCTGCCAACTGGCCAACATTTCGAACAGGAACATTTTTTAAAAGAGATTGATAAATTATTTTCCTTTCCTTTAAATCATATCAGTATTTTTCACTTCCACATCATAGCTAGTATCTACCAATTTATCATACTCTTCATTTAACTTGCAGTTCTCTGCTTCAAGATCACCAACCTAGCTTCAATCTTTCTCTTCTCC